GTTGCTATCAACTTGACCTTTCCAGGCTCTGAAGAAGGCGAAATCCGCCGAAACGTCAGCTTAATGGTGAACAAAGAATAATAACACCTCGCGTTTGCTCAACGAAAATACGAAGAAAATCACTTGATCAATGCCGAGGTTAATAGAAAGTCGGTCGTGGCAGTCAACTACTTGGATTGGCAGATAGGAACGATTAATGGACCAAGGAATGCGCCTGGCAAACGTTACCATAGTCAAAACAGACCACCACCATAAGTGATGGCTGCGCGAAAAGGAAACAAATGGAAAATGTGCTGTGGCCTGAAATAATATGAACACGGCCATCAAAGCATGAACCCCAAATCCCTTCTATAACATCGTTCTAATTCGATCGTCGACTAGTTGAAGTGCTCGCTAAAGTTATTGTAGAATTCTAACAGTGATTCCAAAAAAACTACTGGCGATTCACAAAGGCCGCGGCGGAACACTTGAGACGTTCAATAATCTTAGCTTCGTCGGAATACCGCAGGAAATCACGCTCACTCGGCAGCGAAGAACTAGAAACTCAGAAACATCACATCAGAAAAGCAGTTTTATATACTGCCCTATATCACGCGTGATAATGAGGCATTCTTCCCTGCGGTTCATTTTCGGATTTCTGAAATTAATCCAGAGTGCCTCGCCTTTGGAACATTGTAAAGCTCCCTTGAGAGTAGATGTTTCTGATGAACTGCCGAACAACGAAACTCGAGTGCAGTTTTGATTAAGCATCGAAGCAAAAAACTAGGAAAGGAATCCAGCCAAGCATTTTCAATGCTGAAATTATACTTCCCGAATAAGAAATCACTCGCATCACGTAGACATAAAGTGATTTATGGGAGCTTGAGCAAACTGCCGGTCGTTTCCTTACTCATATTAAAGACATGTAGTTGATTCTAAACGTTTGGAACACCCACTTAATATTGTATTTTTTTATTTGAACCTATTCGTGAAAAATTATCACTAGCTGGTCAGTTGTCTCCACAGCGTTACGCTCTCGACTTCGTCTGTCGATTTTTTTTCAGCGGTTAATGTTAGACACACAACCGCCTAGTTATATCGTACTCTCGTCATCAAATATAATCTTTCTTTCAATCTTTTTTCAAGAAGTTGTTGATCATGCAATTGCCGAAGAGTTTTTCGTCTCTTTGTAAGTGTTATTGAAGCGTTTGGCCTAGTAGATTGTATATCAGTATGCCCTTCCAGGCTCTGAAGAAGGCGATACTGCCAAAACATCAGCTACTATTGAACTGTATTGTGTATTTTTCTATGGAAGTAAATGTATGCTGTTTAAAAACCTCGCGATTGCTGAACAAGAAAACGACACATTCATATTCCAATGCCGAGGTTAATAGAAAGTCGATCCTGGGAACTAATCTTTCTTTCCTCAACGTAAGGAAATAGGCTAACATGTTGTACCCTCGAGTTGTTCAGGCCACCACTTTAAATGTATCCAGAGCAGAGAAATATTTTCGGTTCGATTCGTTTCTTAGGAACGAAAAACAAAATTAAACACTACCATCAATTGAAGTCATCACCACTGGAAGTTCTGTAGTAGTTCGTTTCTTCTCTTTGTTACGTCTGCAGTCAAGGCTTAGACCGGACATTATACCTTCATTTTTATACTAAAGACGACTTTTAACGGCCAACTGAATTCATGTACCTCCAAGCAGAATGTTATTATTTGAAGTCCAAAATAAACAAAAATACTAAGGTGGTAAAAAGAGATGTTTCATCGAAATTCCTAAAATTTATAGTCGGCTGCCCATTTGGGAAACTCAGCAAATGTGGCTAATTTTTAGATAATTCTCTTCGCCAATTGTTGCAGAGATCTCATTGAAAGTATCTGCATCGAATCCGACAGTCTTTGAAGGATTCGAAGCAATTACGAAACGGCCGCAAATTTGGAAACACTAGCAGCACTACTCTGCCAATGAGTGGATGTTTGAGTGAAAATCTTTCATTTTTTTTCAAATATTTTAAATCGAACCAAATATTTTCCTAAACTACCCTACTTGTCAGTAGCGCGGATTGCTCAAGAATAGGTGAAACGCCCCTGTCAGATTACTAGTGGAATAAATGATCGACAATCTTATCATAGGAATAGAACGTTGAGATTACAATTGATTCTTGTTTCAATTACAGCAATACATCTACTTACAATCAACAATGCTGGTAAATGCATGTTGCTGTATATTACATTATTATATGTAATAATTATGTTGTCTATGATTTTAATTTTTTTTAGCCAGCCTTGCCAGAAATAGTTCGAAAAGAAGACGCACGCAGCACAGTGATTCGAGATGTAGCACAATAATATACCTATAGTCGCTTCTTCGAGAACGCTTGGAAAACATTAGGCCCCCAGATCGCTTTAAATCAGTGCCTATCTGAAAAAGGTTGGCTCTGGTCCGTAAAGGCCGGAAACTGTCCATGTAAAAATACCAGGCGACGCTCACGTGGAGCTATCGCAGAGAATCAACTCAATCGAATAATTGTGAAGAAAACCGAATCCTCAAGGTTCTAGCCGAACCACGAAACGCGCACGCATTCTCCCACCGCATACACCTGCGGTCCGGAGTTTTGCAAATATCTCAGCAACATTGAAACTACTGCATATAGTTTACTACTTAGTATATCCCATTATAGCCCATCATTGCTGCAAAGAGTCCTTAGTCTCGAAATTAACTGAGCAAAACACACCTGGCTGGAAGGACAGGGTTTAGAGAATACTTTTCCCATTCACTTCACGCACAATACTTGCGCTTAATAAGCTACTAAATGGATACAAGATCAACCAGAAATCTCTGTACAACAAAGCACACAACCCAAAAGAAAACGCGTTCGAACCACTTCGTAAGACTCGACACATGTTGAAGCAATTCCCAACACCGAATTTCTGCTAACTTCGGCATTGATTAAGTTAATCACTGTATTCCTGATAGACAAATTCGAAGGTGTTGCTTTATTCTTTACTGACCAAAAAGCTGACGTTTCGGCGGATTTCACGTCCTTCAGAGCCTAGAAAGGTCATTGTTGACTGCAACCTAGTCAGCCAAATACCTCCATAACCAGAGCAGAAAAAACACGAAACGAAGATTTCAAACGTATTGGAAACGAAATAGCTTCTTCTCATACTCACCGCTTTCTATGATTCTTCCACTGACTACTGAGTATCTGAGTGCATAAACACTTTGTGGAGAATTCCTGAAGGAGACGAAATTCTTCGAAAGTACAGAATGAAGTAACAAGCTTGTGTTTATTAATTAAAGATAGAGTGGATTAATAACTAAAGTATCAATTGTTCATTTACACCGTAAATTGAGCTAATTTAAAGGCATTTCAGAGTGCAAAACAGGAAAGAGAGAATGTGCTCCAGCAACGATTGTCTGCCATCAGTATACTGCTGTTGCTCTAGGATGATATGTACCGCGGTTTCAGTGGGGCTCTGCTTTTGTTTGGTATGTGTGCTTTGTAGTTGCGTATTCGGTATTGTAGTTTATATCAAGTCATCATTAATTCTAACGTGCACTTATTGAATACCAGACCAAAAATCATACTTCCACTACCGGAAACTTCTTCATCGCTGCCCTCGCGTTGTTTTTATGCTTCCATGTTCTACTTGCTCATCCTTTCATTCAGTGTATGACCGACGAAGTCGCAGAAATTCCTGTGGCTGGAAATCATGTTAGTCGTTTTTTCGAACTTTATTTCTTCTTGCGGAACGTGTTGGCATTGTATTCTCATCCAAGGCTGGTGGCGTAGGAGCATGGGCCATTATCAAAGGCGTCGTTTCGAGGATGATCCTCATATATCTCATCACCAGCATTTTTAAGGTTTCTACTTTTGCTCTGGCTGTTTAATTTCATGTGTTTCTGAGCCACATCTCTTTCAGAATTATCTCGGCCATCATTCTCAAGCGGAGAAGAACGCGACGGACGCGTTGCGCGGTGGTTATCCACCGTCACGAAATCTCTTCCCACCTGGACAACTGTTCGACCTGTTCCTATACCTCGATGACTCGGTTCATTGCGTTTCTTTTAATAAATTTTGCTTATTGTCACGATGTTAAAATGTGTTCTTCGCAGCTGTTTGTCCACGGAAAGGTTACTTTTATCGGTGGTGCGGCAGCGTTGCCGAGTTTTACTCCTTTTTTTGTTTCTAAAAGGTACTTAAGAGGTACAGCATGTGACATCAAACGACGAAGTATCTTCGCCGTTTCAGTCGCCCTTCTCTTAATTTGATAGTAAAACTTCGCATTCCAGATGATAAACCCACGTAGTCAATTTTTTCAGCTTCCTTTGTGATAGAGATTGGATTACATAAATAACCTCTTTAGCTATCAAAAACCCGCCGTTGTCATAGCTGGTCATACTAGGAAACAGAACAAGTAGTAAGTATTGTGTTCTCAATTACTTTCTGAAGTTAAGGAAGAACGTTTTTCTAACTTCGAGGAACGCAATCTTTTTCATGAGGAACGTGGAATACGATATGGTGATTATTCTATTGGGCCAAAAAAGGTAAGAACACGTTCACTTTATTGTCACATGTGCTTTCACATGTCTACTTTCTGCATCAGAATGCTTCAATTTTGCAGGATGGAATTCTGGTTTTTCAAAAGACTTTCGCCACGCCTGAGGCACTTCTTCGGAATCAATCCATATATTTGCACGTTTTCATAACGAAATCTGGGCATTCTCCAAACCCGCGCCATCGAAGTCATGTCGCACGGGAGGTACGAAGTAGTGATTTTAGTTGTTCATTTCCTCATTATCAGTTGACTTAGGTGGTGTATGGAGTCCAACAGCTCAACAAGTATAAGAAAAAGCATTATAAAAAGACGACAAACCTCCTAACGGGGAAGAGCGAGCAAAGTGATCATGACCTAGAAAAGGCGGATAAAGTGAATTTTGAGGTCAGTTTATCCTCCGAAATCGCTTTTTGTTGTGTCATTTGATTGCCTTGAATGTGACATCTGTTCAAAGTGTTTATTTTTATCCGATTCCGTTCTCGTGCGAGCTGAGAGTTTTCAGGTCTTAAACTTTTGGCATCCTAATCTCACAATTAGTCTGGTTGATGATCAAACACAGTGGATAAAGGGCAAGGACTTATTACTTGTTCACTTCTTTTTTCTATGAGCAAATGTGTTTTAGCAGTTCTGGCTAATTGAGTTTGTTTTAGGATCCTTGCCACCTCCACTTGACGAAGCCGTTTTATTTGACACCACCCAAGAATTCTATTATCCAATTCTGTTCTTTAATACCTATTGGAATCTTGGTTCAGAATACATGCCGACAAATGACACTGTTAAGGTACTCTGCAGCATGCAACAAAATTCCTGCGATAAATCCCAAGCGTCCTAACCTCCTGCACTACCCAACTCATAGTTTTTGTAGTCGTTGCAGAGAAAGTATGAGATGCTAAAAGTGATGGCGAACTTACTTCGAGATTTTAGCTGCTTCAAAACAGTAATATGCAAATTTTTGTGGGTTTAAGCTTCGCCATGTTTTCACAGACTTGCTTTTACTTCTGTTTCCACTAATATATTCCCAATTATCTCCATTTTTATTTAAGACAGCTCGTTTTAGGAAATAACATTACGGATTAGTTATCAACCGTTATCGCTGTTCAAGTACCAATTATATGCTAGTCAGAACGTGAGACATTTTGGTGTATGGGGATACTACTGTGTTCCAGGTCTGCCAATGCGTTTATGTTTTCAGATGCGTAACAAGTGGTCGTCGATGTTAGGCAGTGAAATTTTCGAACAAGATGACGACGATCAGGACACCATAAAACAAGCGCTTATGGAAACAAGTCCAATTCTTCTAGGTAGTTTCCTTGGCTAGGTGGTATTATTTAAGGTTCCTTGAGTTTTTTTCATTTGCACTTTTACGTCATTTTGACACTCTCAGTTTTGACGATGTTTGTGTCACTTCTGCATACGGTATTTGAATTTTTGGCATTCAAAAGTGACATCCAGTTTTGGCGGTCCCGGAAGGACTTAGTTGGCTTGTCAGTACGTTCCGTGCTGTTTAACATATTCCAGGTACAATTATGTTATCGTTTCTCCTTCCTTATGCTTTGCATTAAGAAAGTCTTCAAAATTTTTTTTCAACTGCTCCTAGTTAACGTTTATAATTCAGTCGCTGATTGTTTTTCTCTACATATGTGACAACGATACGAATTGGGTAGTGAAAATAAGCGTCGGAATTGGATTACTCATTGAGTGTTGGAAAATACCAAAGGTTATGAACGTCGAGGTGTGGAATGTTTTCTTTCTTTCTTTCTTTCAAGATTCCTTCCTTGTTGGAATAAATAGTTTTAAATAACATCGTTTTACCCTTTACTATCCATTATTTAGGTAATTCGTACGAGCAAAATATTCGACGTTATTCCGAGGTTGAAATTTAGTGATAAAGGGTCATATGTCGAAAGCGAAACAAAACTTTACGACGAGGTAATGAAGTTTCTTCTCCTTTTCATGTTTTAGTAGGCTTTTATTTCCAGTTCGCCATATTCAAGGTTACAGGAGTTATATCAAACACTCGTTGTTTTCTTTACACTCATTTCAACTTTCCCTGTTGTTCCAGATGGCGTTCAAATATTTGTCGTGCGTCTTGTTCCCTCTTCTTGGAGGCTACGCAGTTTATTCTTTAATATATGTTGAGCAACGCGGGTGGTATTCCTGGGTATTGAGCATGCTTTACGGGTTTCTACTCATGTTTGGTTTCATTGCTATGACTCCACAGGTTTTTCTTATGTTTTGTTCTTCATCTCTCCAAAATAACATAGTGTAAGCATAGTTTGCTTTTCCCATGGATTTGCATTTGAATGAATACGAGCTTATTTTCTGTATAGGTTATAATCTCGAAACTTTCAGCTATTCATCAATTACAAACTGAAATCTGTAGCACATCTTCCTTGGGGAATGCTTACATATAAATTCATAAATACTTTTATTGATGATTTATTCGCCTTTGTCATTCGGATGCCAACGATGTATCGCATTGGATGCTTTCGAGATGACATCATATTCTTGGTCAGTTTTCCTCTCCGGTTGTGGTCAACCTTTTATCTGTTATATAGTATTTAGTAAGTGTTTGTGAGACTTTTTCAAGTTTCTAGATTAAGTACCGCTAAATTACTTTTTATCTTTGTACTTGGAGGCATTCACACGTATAAGGTGTTGATGGTTCCGTTTGTTTCTGGTTGGATTTCGCAGTTCATTACCTAGAAGGCAATAAGTTCGGTGCATTAATAGATTGTTAGTGATTTCAAATATCACCAGAGGTCAAAAAAGTGGAGATGGTTTTCTGATGCCTTCCTTTCCTTCAGATTGGTGATTGTTAAGTATTTGCTGCATAAGGTAGTCATATCTTGATTGTATTTAGTGTATTCTGACAATATCAATAAGACTCGCGTAATTTGCAGCATTCAAGCCTAACCAAATGGTTGATTATTGAGTTCGAACCTGAAGATTTGTGACACCTAGAGTTAAGAGCCATATTTCGAGGATTAGGTTATGTTATTGACGAAGTTAAACCTGCTTTTTAGATGGGAACAGTTTCTTTTATTCCTTTGTTTTTTGAAGATCCCCTATTTCTGTTCCATTCGCTCCTTACCAGTTACCATATTTACTCTTTCGCTAGGATTCCAAGTTTATCTTTTTGAAATCATTTCACTTTTTTGTGGTGTTAATTGAGCGTTTTCAACTCGGTTCGACTCCCTTGTTTGACGAAAATTGGCTTTTTACGTGAGATTATTCAGGACCTGTTTACATCCGCTCATCTTCCTCGTTACAGGCATTGCTACAATTCGTCGAAGTTAATTTAACTTTGTATTTGATAGGTAGTTCCCGTAACAATTTCACTCTTCGTTCAGGCTGTCATTGCAGCATATCTTCGTAGTTGTTAATATCGGGATGGGTGATCATTCGATTTTTTGTACTGCTACATATTCATACATATTCATCTTGACAGTAAGGATTGACCTATAGACGATGATATTGAGGGGTCAAGTCGATGGTATCTTGTCCTCCATAGTGCATGATGCTTATAATATGGTCGCTTCAATACCCAATTGATTTCTTTAAGTTTTTAGTTTCACTCGATATAGGTGTCTATTTATGAAGTTGAGGGAAGTGCAGCTGTTCTATGGTTTCTCTTAGCCTGTGTGTTTCAGAGTGTTCATTCATGGAATGAAAATAGTTCCAGGTTTATCTATATCAAAGGTGGATTTACCGCGTTGATCCGAAACGTGTTAACGAATTTGGAACATCGTTGGAATCTCCAGCGGGTATTTCACTAGACAGTAATGTAATATCGGAAGGGAACAACGTTTCTGATGACAAAGCGTCGACTGAAACGAAGAAGGACCGGTGACTCCATCCAAAAATGTGGGTTAGGGTTATATACTCTTCCAGTTCCAATCATTTTCATGGTGAAATTTAGTGATGCAAATAAACCTTACATTTCAGCCAATCTTCACTTCCACCCTACTAGTTGTGAAAAAGATCCGAGTTTTATGTTTAAAATTGTTACTGGCAAGAGTTTTCTGTGAATGGAATTGTTTTACCTGGATATCGTTTTATTAACTATACTTTAGAAAAGGCTTTGAATTTGTCCATTCCACAAGTTTTTATGTTGAGCACATGTCATTGCATTCTTATTTGCTTCGCGCAGCTGTTGAATTACGATTATTACTTATGCTTCGTCTTGTTACTTTCGAAGCAAATTTCTAGCATAGGTCTATGAGTACCGTTCATTGTCTGAGATTTTAATAAAGTTTGTAATTCTTCAATTGAATTACTCTGCTTCAATCAATGAACATCTATGAAATTCAAGTTTTTAGGCTATCAGCATTTGTTTTTTTAAGGGGCTCATAAACTTTTACATCCACAATTTAAACCAAAAAAGAAAAGTGGCACAAGTAGTAACAAAGCTCCTGTAATGTTAAAGTTGTCTTGTTTTCCCCATCTTCCTTTATCTTTTACAGTGGTAGTGTTGTCTTCTTTTGAATTTTTATTCGATTTTACACGCAGTAAAACCGCATGCCATATTCCATTACATTTCATGGTTTGTGTTTAAAACGTTAGGTGTGCTGAAGGTTTTGGGTTAATGGACGCTTTGTGAGAGGTAGTTTCACTGGGCTAATCAACGAATCGGCTTCGTGGTTTCTATGGCAACTGTGGCACTCTGCATGATTTCGCTGGGATTCCTTATATAATTCTAATGTCTTCGGAATCGCTCAATTTCATTGTTCAGAATTTGAACTCCCCACCCTTCAACCGTAACACATCCTTGATTGCTTTTGACCTTTGGTCACCTACTGCATTGTTGCAACAGCTCAGCGATGTGATCAGGTAAGAGTCACAGGACTAACTTCGCTTACAACTTGATGTGTCGGTTTCAAACAAAACCGTCATTTTTAGTTGGATTACACAAGCTAACAATGTTGATGTTACGAAGGAGACATCAGAGGAGACGGCGTTGAGAATCCTGTACCAGTTGAAAATACTTAAATTTAAACCTCCTAGCGATATGGAGGAGCTGTGAGTAACATCGAATGTGTGGCATACAGGGAACTATTGCTTAAGTTGCATTCAAAGTGCTCTTTTCTAGTGAAGAATGGAGGGCTGGTTTAGTTGAAGGTGCAAAGAGATCTGTCTATCCAATTCTTCTTTATCTTTTTTCCAATACTGATATGTTGAAACAAAGGGCTTACCTGGCTAAGTATTTGGTGAAGGTATGAAAGTTATCAAACTTTCTTGGTTGACTACTTTTAATTACATTCTTGAGAACGATCAACTTAAACTTGGCTTTTTATGTTGAAATACCCAGCGATATTCATGACATGGACACTGCACAAATGCAGAACGATCTTGCAATGCTGATGGAGCGTTTCAAGGTTCGAAGAAATATTGGAAAAAATCTGCGTTGGAAGATGTCACATGTAAATTACAGGAAACCCACGCACGAGTAATGGATGTGCAGCAGGATAGCATGCTCATCGAAGACATGAAATCCGATTTGAAGGCGATGGAAGTGGAAAAGGAGGTGTTGACTAGAAAAATTGAGAAGACCTTCAAGAAAATTCAAAATCTTCCATCGTTGGAGAGGTAAATTCAAGCTTGAAAGTATTACGAATAAAAATGGTAGTTGCGTATCGGTTGGCCCTAATAAGAATTTCTCATTAACTGCTTTTAAAGCTGATTGCAAAGCATTATTGTCTACATATTTAACAATAATTGGATTTTAATGACGCTGAGACATTTGCAAAATTCCGGATCGCAGGTGTCTGCGATGGGGAGCGAACGCGCTATTGTCCTTTCCGGGGAGTAAGGTGTTCAACACCGCACCATGCGGGTCTTTCGTTTTGCTTGTCTCTCAGCTAGTCCTATCGATTTCTGTCATCAGCAATCACCCATCAGCGGAATTGATCTTGGGAGCCCAAATCGGCAATGAGCCCAGTTAAGCTGAGGCTTTAGCTATAATCACAATCTTAACCGTTTTATTTACTGCCTACTCTTTTTGATGGCAGGGTATATTGCGAAATATAACTTAGACAATAGCGCGTTCGTTCCCCGCCGCAGATACCTGCGGTCCGGAGTTTTGCAAATATCTCAGCATCATTAAAGTTATATTTCGCAATACACTCTGCCATCAAAAAAGTAGGCAGTAAATAGAATGGTTAAGAATTTGATAATAATTGGATTACCATTTTAAAAGTATAAGTTGACTCAGGAGATTGAACTGTATACAATCGTGGGGCATAGTTGGAGGTGGTTCAATGCATGTCTGGCCTTTATAATGGCTTGCCTTGGCCTTCCAATGTATCAAGTCAGTGGTGCTATCCTCTTAAACAATTTTGGTACCAATTTGCCAATCAGGAAAGCTTGGTGAGCATAGAGTATGGGATCAAATTGGTGGCCACGTGTGTATCGGAGGGCACCTTTAACCACTGTGTTACGCTAGCTCCAAGACTTAAAATACCGAGCTTTCATGTTGAAATGTAACCAACATGGTTTTCCCTAGCGTTTCTTATTCCTCATAAAGCTTTGGTATGGTGGTGACTCAGAACTGGCGTGATTAGGAGGTTAAAGAAAGGAAAAGAATGTTCTCATTTTCGATTTGGCAGTCACTACCGAGTCTTGTTTTTTTTTCTTTTTTTCTCTTCTCAAAAAGTTGTATGGAAACAGTATTTCGGACGATTCCACGTCCGAAAGTATAACAGTTTCATGACTGTGGTTATTAAGGGCTAATCTTTTTGTTTCACAGCATAAGACCACAAGGGTCATCATCCACAACAGATGCTGCGCTTTGCGATCTTTATGGACATCTTAGTTTTGTAGCCTTATTCAGCTTTTGATGTTGAACGGCTTAAACGGATGCAGCAATCCTTCCGATACCTGCCAGTCAAGCGAGTGAACCTTCTTTTTACGTCTTTCCTACCTCCAGGTTGACCCAACATCAGTCTCCCATTACGTCCACGTCTTACTGGCGATGCAACAGCGTAGTGTCCGTTTAGATAAAACTTTCCTATAGCCATCCTTGCTTTGCTAAAGAATTATTCTCGATGGGGACAATTAATAGCAGTCACATAAGGCGATTTGAGGAGGTTGCGCAGTGCGTCGTTGTTTAGAGTTCGTTCGTGTTTTGACTTTGGTTCATCTTCGAATTAAGTGTCTAATAACTGAGAGTATTTGATCCATCCGTAGACTATAAAGCGGTGAACGAAATCAGCCTTGGAAACCGCACATGTTCGTGGAAGGGAACCTTTCGGAGTGCCTAACAAGAACGTAAGACCTAAACGTAGCTGACTATCTTTAACATTAAGAATTCCGATAACGTTGTTCGAGAGCATGATTTTACCTATCAGAAAAGTGCTGTTCAAATTATTGTGTTAGGTTCTTCGGAAGTTAATATCGGACTTTAACCTGTTTTCAAATTGGCGTATCTCTGCTCAGAATAAGTTTCGTCAATCGAAATAAAAGCCCTTACAGTGTACATATTCTTGCCAACTGTAAACGAGTTTATTCATGTCATATGCTTAGAATTATGGACAGCTGGAGGCGACGAAGCCTTTAAAAAGGTTATTATAATAAAAATGTTATGTTCTTCGTGTCGCGTAATCGAGTAGAGTTCTCTGAGGGTCTCTGTGAGCTTGGTGTTTATTACCATTCATTACTACTTGCATACTTGGATGGCCCGTCCTCACCGGTTGTGCGAGTCCCAGCACAATCTTCCTTTTCTCGTAGATTTGCTGGTTTAGCCATTGTGGTTTCCTGGAATTCCTGGACAAAGTCTGTCCCAGCTCTTCACCACCTTAGGCAGTCGCAGCCCTTGTGGATCAGAGGGAGATCCGCCACCATGCGACTAGTTTGATATTAGGACAGTGGTGGATCCTGGTACTGGTTTACTCTTAGCGGTGCTTGGTGATCGAAACGTCTGACTCAGTTTTGGAGACCCTGTTGGTGGGACGAATCCTCTCGCTGTACATCGCAGTCCGACATCCAAGAACACCTCCTAGCCATGTTGAGGCAGTAAACCGTTAGGAGGGGGTAATAATAAATAATAGATAATAATAATGAATGGTTTGCCGTCTCATCGTGGCTGGGAGGTGGTCCTGGGTGTCTGACTGCGATGTACATCGCGCGATTTATTCCCTGGCAGGGTCTGTCAAACTGAAAACGAGTTCAGCGTCTCCAACAGGAAGCCTAGCTAAGGGTAAACCAATACCAGAACCCACGACCGTCCTGGTGTCGAAGTCGCTTGGTGGCGTATCTCCCTCTGATACACAAGGGCAGCGACTACCTGTGGTGATGACGAGCTGGTGCAGACCTTGGCCTGGATGACCTCAGGACTCCAAGGAACCACAGTGGCTTAACTAGCAAATCTCCGAAAAATGAAGATTATGCTGGTGTCCGCACAACAAGTGAGGACGAGCAATTCAAGTAGCAGGTAAGTATTTGTTATTACCACGTTATTGCTTATTATCATTGTTATTTATTGCTCTTTGTTAAAACTTACTATTGTTTGCTGTTGTCCGTTGTTATTTACAAACGTTTATTATTGCTTATTGTTACCATTCTTGTGATTATCACTATCATCACTATTATTATATTGCTGTGAATTTCTGTGTATACTGTTGTTGCTATTAAATTTTTCATTTAAGGCAAATGGCTGCAGCTAGTGAGCTACGCCTTCAAAGGGAACGGCAAGCGGAGCTGAGTATGCAGCGCTCTGACCAGCGTGATGGGGTTCGGTGTTTGGGAAGATATTTCATAGGCTACAGTGTCAAAGCTGTTTCCATTTTTCTTTTGTCTTATTTTGACTTCTGGTGCTTTTCTTTTTCAGATAATTCACGCTGAAAAGAAGTTGCAACGCCTCAAGGATCAGTTGAACGAATTGCGCGTTGCATCTGAGAGTATCGATCCGTCGAATCTGATTGCACAGTTACAGGTATTCTACAAAATATTGTATAGTAGTTGTAGTTAAATGTACCTTTGTTTTTTGTTCCATCTAGGACGAGATTATGACGAATAGATACTTGATTGACACAAAACTCTCCAAGGAAATCGGGCACATGCGGCAAGTTGTTAGTGAATTAGCTAGAGTTTCCGACATGCCAGCCATCGACCAATCTGATATCTCTAGCTTACAAATTGAGGTAGCGTCATTTTCTTCGTTTATTTCTCAATCAGTGTTAACATCTTATCTTGATAGTTTTTGGAAGAAATGCCACTAGAGTTATGTATAAAAATTACTTAATGTTTTGAAACAAAGATTGTAGGGCGATTACTAAATCCATTAAATCCATGCCGGAACGAAACTGGCATCTTTGCTTAAAAATCTTGGGGAATTGATGTCTGTGTATAAGGAGGTTTATTCGTCGCGTATCTCTGTTTGGCTTACTGCTGTACCATATCAGCGATTTTATCCTCCAAAATACGTTTGATGCGAATTTCCTTACCTCGGAGGAATGGAAGCCTTAATGGGCCCGGGTCGCGGGAGCGAACCAACGACCGGCCGACTCTGTGCGCTGTTCAGCGCATATCTAAGATTAGCGCTACACTCGTTTTTGATTTACCCCAGTAAGTTGTTTTTTCCTCAGGTTGATGCTAAAACTGAGAAAATCATGCTTCTCGAGCAAGAAAGGGACAAAACTGAAGAAAACATTGATGAAAACTTCAGGTACCTCAGTTCATTTATCAACAAAAATTTTGGAGATTAAAGAAAGTTTGTTGGATTTCGTTGTGCTTCTTTTTTCTTTACTTTTTAAAAGGATTGAAAACAGTAATTCCTATCCTTACATTATTGCTATAATTGTGCATTGCTCTAGCAAATAATACTTGGAACACGAATGGCCCAGGCCCATATTCGTTAAGTGTCATGTGAGCGCCAGTTCATTTTTCACTCAAATGCTGTTTTGTTACGTTCGCAGGACTTTTCCCTTTGTCTGCAGTTCTAATGTTCTAAGGTTGTCTGAAGTCACTGAAGACTAGCGGATTATAATACAATGTATAATTGTTGGATGGAACTCTGTGTGATCTACTTGAATATTTTGAGATTCACGAGTAATTCTTTAGTTACTTTGTAGATTTATTAAACTCAATTTTTACAGACTTGTTATGAATCATGTACTAAATCATTTCATATGAACTGTATGCAATGAAATATTATTCAACCTATTCGTTTATCTTCTTGTATGACTTTACTTCACATATTCTGTGGATCCTAGCACTTCTTCCAATAAGTACTTCTTCTTCCATACCTCATTTCCGAGAGACGTCAGATTCACGTGTTTTCGGTCGTTAATTGAGAGCTTTGTCTTCTTGACAAATCTCATTGGAATCTGCTCGGGCTGACTGTTGAGAATTCTAGAGCAGCTCTACATGAGCACTTCAAGATCTTAAACACAGACATTATCATTGCCTATGGATCGGATTGAGCTTTTTGTGGAATTTCTGCTACCAATTCGCAGACAGAGGGATAGGAGGCCTATTTGATCTCGAACGAAATTGATCCAAGGACCCATACGTGCATAGAATGACATTTCTAAGCATTAAATTTCACTGTATAAGTCAAAATCAACGTAATCATTTAAAAATTATTCCCTTATA